CCAGGATTCAGAAATAGGCGTTCTGTGACCACCGCTTGGGCATCATGAGCTGCCTCTTGCCTGGGAGCAGTTTTTCTTTGTTCCTTTTCCAAAAGGCTGACCTCATCCGGCTCATTTGTTTGTTTCCTTGACTCACCCTGCTGTAACCACAAGCCGCCTTCCTACTTTGGGGGATCCCAAATGACTTATCATGGGACTTTATATGTAAATTTGAAAGATTCTTGTCTACTACATTGGGGGAAGCAGCCTCAGCTTCTTTTTTAGGCCTGTTTGGTAAGTGCTTCCCTAGAGTCTTTCAGAGCTTGGGGTGCTCCCGCCGAAGATTTTATCGTGAGCACCTTTGCAGTTCGGTTTTCTGAAATCGCTCAGCATTTCTCGCCCATCAGTTTGGGTCTTAGCCCAGTGACTAGCAGATGATCTAAGGGCCAGGGCGGCCTGAAGTTGGCTGGGGCTTGGGGGATTTTCTGAAAGCCTGTGACCCAGGACTGGCTGTTTGAGAGTGAGGAGGAGGAAGAGGAAGAGTTAGGCTCCAGGATAGACCCAGCCGGGTCATGGCCCACTGCTGGGCATCAGGCCCCTTGAGCAGGGCTGGCCGGTTTGCTACCTCCTCTGGGGGCCAGAACTCGCTGTTGACTTTGAGGTGGGGCTTCACAAAACACAGTGGTGCCCTGAGGCCCCGCCTGGCCCAGGCAGCCTTCTCCTTTCCTCCTTTGAGGAGCGGGGTGACCCCGAGGAAGGAGGTCGGGTTCTGCCTGAGTTCCACCAAGCTTCTCCCTCGGGCAGCTCTCCCTGCCTCACTGTCTGCTCAGGGAAATGACTTCTGGCTTCCCGGTAGGGACTTTATACTTAGCATCTGCCCTTGCACTGGAAAACCCCGGTTATCGGAAGATCTCGGTTATGCTCACGGCTCTTGGGTGCCGCTCTTCTCTGCTGCGGTGGCTCTCAGAGGCTCGGCGTACTTGGCCGCCTCCAAAGCACGCAGTTGAACTTGAGCAGTGGTTGGAATGCCCCCGCACCCCCCGCCCGCCTCCTTCCCACACACCTATGCCGTGAGCTCACACGCTCACTAGGGACTTGCACTTGGCGAGCATCAGAGAATGCAAGGGCAGAGAAGCTAGATCTGGCCACCAAGGACTCTGAGTCCCGGATGGCAAGAAAAAGGCCGTGATATTGGTGGGCCCGGTACCAGCAGCCCCACCAGCTGTGCCCATCAGCGCCCCGGTTCAGACAGCAGGCCAGGACCCCCTCTTGCAAGCCAGACAGTGTCCCAGGTGCTCAGTGATCCTTCGTGAAGGCCTGGGGACAAGCGGGATGGGTGGGCCCGTGTGTGCTCAGAGCAGAGTTTTGAGGGCGCCTGGAACTTGCCCTTTGCTCTCTGGGGCCGTTCCCCCTGTCTTTACCTGCGCTGGGGCCTGGCAGAGCTTGGGGGCTTCCGGATTCCAGTGTCGGTGGTAGCCAGTCTGCTGGAGTAAAGCTGATTTCCCAAAATAGCCACCCAGAGGGAAAGAGCAGCCCTGGAATTTGCTCCCAATGATGATGACCATGACGGCCTTGCTCAGGCTCCTGGTCCCACCCAGCTCCACCGCCTGACCGTCTCACCCAGGAACTGTGGGTGGGTGTGGGAACCGGGTTTTTCCTGTCTCCTCGTCTCTCCTTCCTCTTCCTTTTTGTTCTTTCTCACCACCAGCTTTAGGCTTGGATACAAAGGACTCAGGAAGGATGTGCTGGTGCGGATGGGCTGGCGGTGGGGGGTCACAGGGTGGGAACAGCCTGGGGGGCACCTCTCCGCAGGTGAACGCACACCTACAGAGGGGCCCAGGTGCTGGCAGTGGGCCCAGCTCCTAGCAGCGGAGCCTGGTGCCAGACCCGGAGGCGGCAAGCCCGACAGGTCGGACAGGTGGAGCCAGCCTTGAGGTCGGTCCGCGGTCCCCAGTCCCCGATCCTCCCTCAGCCCACAAAGCAGGTAACCCACCTTTTTTTTTCCCCCCTGCTGCTGGTTTAGTTCACTCTCAACTTCAGGGAACACTTACAGCTTGGGAAAAAGACCTTTGGGATGAGTGAAGAAAATCCTGAGTTTGTTTCTAGAGGATTTACTGTGTTTGTGGGAAATTTGGCCTTGGCATTAGAAAAACATTCCTAATTGTTTGATCCCTTGTTCCAAAAAGTCAATGTCTTACGGAGCCTGGTTGCTTAACGGTGGCAGGGAAGGCAAGGTCCAGAAACAGTATCCCAGGTGCTCAGTGATCCTTATTGGAGGGCTTGGGGACAAGGGTTTTTTAGTAACTACAGATGGAAAGCCTATGGAAGGCTTTATGGTGGTTGGGGGGCTGTTTTCCTTTTCCATAAGGTGGGGGGTTGGGCTGGGGGCTGCCTCTGTCCAGCAGCAGGGCTCCGTGTTAAAATGGGGCAGCTCCCTCAGTCCCTACTCAGAGAAACATTACGTGTGTGGTGGGGGGTGGGTAGTCTGGGCTTCTTCCAAAACTCAAATTTATGTTACAATCCCCTGGGCTGGATTTTATTTTGAAATTGTGAAGTTCTGAAATCTCTCCTTGTGAAAGCCTGTCTCTAGCATTTTCACCCCCACTGTAGTTAGCCCTTAGCGTTTGGGGGGATTTCTGGCCCGAGGCCAGGAAGGGCGCACAGGTCTGAAGAACAAACCCGGGACCCCCCCTCCCCACCCAAACCGAGGACTTGGTTGAAAGTCTGAGCAGTCCATGCGCTCTCCTGTCTGTTGCCATCATGGAACACCACCCCGCACAAGGTCACCGGGAAGGGCACAGTGCAGGGGCCACCTGCCTAAACTCTCCTGGCTTGGTCTACTTTTGCAGGGAGAGGATGGGGATGCTGTTTCTGCTGCTGTTGAACAGAGATGTTTTTGTTAAATGGTTTCCTTTTTTTTTTTTTCAAATTCCAAGGTAATTTTTGATGCCCAAATTGCTTAGACTATGTATCAGTTAGGATTCCTTCCTCTGCGAGTAAGAGCCAAGTCCTACTCAAAATGACTTAAGTAATCAGAACAGTAAACATTTTACAAAACCGAAGTCTGGAGGTCGGCAGTTTCGGGGTGGGTTGTATCCAGTGGCTTAGGGATGTCAAGGAGTTGGGTTCTCTCCATATTTCTGCTCGGCCGTCGTATACTGACGTTGTCTTCTACCAGCTCCGCTCCTGGCCAGCCCTTCCTGGGCCTGTCTTGTTATGAGTGAGAGAACCCTTTCCAAAGCCTCGGCTGACTTTCTCACACATCTCATTGGCCACAGTGATGCCTCAGGCCCCGGTCCCAACCAGTCAGTGGCAAGGGAAGGGCCTGTCGGCATGGCGTTCGTGAGGCATGTGACTTGAGGAGGGGAGGCTAGGTTTACCTGAACCAAGTCAGGGCCTCTGAGCGGGAGCAGAGGGGCATGGATTTGGGGCAGGCAACCAGGATCTGCTACGTCAGAAACTTGACATTTATTCAGATTTCTAACTGACTGGGGCGGTCAATAACTAACAATTACGCTCACTCCTAAAATACATGTGTTTTATACTCCGTTCTTTTAAGGCAAGGGCAGTTCTAGACAATCATGGCATCTGCTGTTCACCTTTCACCTGCCAGACAACCCCTCTCCCCAGTGAGCATCCGGGTGGGTGGTCCTCAAGCATGTGAGCTGTTCTCCCTCCCGATGAACTTGCTGCGTCCCAGAGTTGGCTGTTTAAGCCATCCATCTGGTAAGGACTAGACTGGGAAACACTTAAGGATTCTTCATACTCAGAGGCATTAGATGAGTAAGTCCCCGGCTCTGCAGAGAGCAGAGGCAACAGGCTTCTGGCAGGCAGCCCCCAAGGGCCAGCAGACATGCTCGCCATTCACCCAGGGTCAGGGAGGGACAAGCACGCACCAGTATCATCCACCAGGGATGTGTGACCTTTTCTTTTCTCCAAGGGCAGGCACAGGTGGCTTGTGAAATTTGGGAGCAACGGGGGTGCTGGCTGCCCCTCTGGAAAAGCTGGTCCCCTCGACCTGGACTGACGATTAGTTTTTGAGGCTGAAAACATCCAAGTAAGTCTTTCATGGCCCTGTCCCTGAGATCCGCCACTCTTTTTTTTTTTTTTTTTACCTTGTATTTAGGCTTCTTTATTTATTTTTATATCTTTAAATTTTACTTAGCATACAGGGCAATATTGGTTTCTGGAGTAGAATTCAGTGATTCATCACTTACATACCATACCCAGTACTCATCCCAACAAGTGCCCTCCTTAATGCCCACCACCCATCTATTCCCTCCCCCACCTCCCTCCAGCACCCCTCAGTCTGTTCTCTGTCGTTTCCCTCTCTCCTCCTCCTCCTTATATATGTTCATCTGTTTTGTTTCTTAAATTCCACATACGAGTGAAGTCATACGGTATTTGTCTTTCTCTGACTTATTTCGCTTAGCATAATACACTCTAGCTCCATCCACGTTGTTGCAAATGGCAAGATTTCATTCTTGTTGACGGCTGAGTAATACTCCATTGTATATATGTACCACATCTTCTTTATTCTTTCATCAGTCGATGGACATTTGGGCTCTCTCCATAGTTTAGCTATTGTTGATACTGCTGCAATAAACATTGGGGCCCATGAGTCCCTTTGAATCTGTATTTTTTTTTATCCTTTGGGTAAATACCCAGTAGTGCAATCACTGGGTCATAGGGTAGCTCTGTTTTTAACTTTTTGAGGAACCGGGGCGCCTGGGTGGCTCAATCGTTAAGCGTCTGCCTTCGGCTCAGGTCATGATCCCAGGGTCCTGGGATCAAGTCCCACATTGGGCTCCCTGCTCCGCGGGGAGCCTGCTTCTCCCTCTCCCACTCCCCCTGCTTGTGTTCCCTCTCTTGCTGTGTCTGTCAAATAAATAAATAAAATCTTAAAAAAAAAAAAAAAAAAAAACTTTTTGAGGAACCTCCGTACGTTTTTTTTTTTTTTTAATTAAAGATTTTTTATTTAATTATCTGACAGAGAGAGACACAGTGAGAGAGGCTCGATCCCAGGACCCCGGGGCTCGATCCCAAAGCCTCGGCTGGGGCTCGATCCCAGGACCCCGGGATCATGACCTGAGCTGAAGGCAGACGCTTAACGACTGAGCCACCCAGGCGCCCCGAGGAACCTCCGTACTGTTGTCCAGAGTGGCTGCACCAGTTTGCATTTCCACCAACAGTGTAGGAGCGCTCCCCTTTTTCCGCATCCCCGCCAACATCTGTTGTTTCACGTGTTGTTAATTCTAGCCATTCTGACAGATGTGAGGTGGTATCTCATCATGGTTTTGATCTGTATTTCCCTGATGCCGAGTGATGTTGAGCATCTTTTCATGTGTTTGTTAGCCATCTGGGTGTCTTCCTCGGGAAAGTGTCTATTCATGTCTTCTGCCTATTTCTTAACTGGATTATTTGGGTTTTGGGTGTTGAGTTTGAGAAGTTCTTTATAGATTTTGGATACCAACCCTTTATCAGATACATCATTTGCAAGTATCTTCTCCCATTCTGTGGGCTGCCTTTTAGTTTTGTTGATTGTTTCCTTCACTGTGCAGAAGCTTTTTATCCTGATGAGGTCCCAATAGTTCATTTTTGCTTTTGTTTCCCTTGCCTCCGGCGACATGTCTAATAAGAAGTTGCTACAGCCGAGGTCAAAGAAGTTTCTGCCTCTGTTTTCCTCTAGGATTTTGATGGTTTCCTGTCTCACATTTAGGTCTTTCATTCATTTTGAATTTATTTTTGTGTATGGTGTAAGAAAGTGGTCCAGTTTCATTCTTCTGCGTGTTGCTGTCCAGTTTTCCCAACATTTGTTGAAGACTGTCTTTTCCCATTGGATATTCTTTCCTGCCTTTTCAAAGATTAGTTCACCATAAAGTTGTGGGTCCAATTCTGGGTTCTCTATTCTGTTCCACTGATCTATGTGTCTGTTTCTGTGCCAGAACCATACTGTCTTGATGATGACAGCTTTGTAATAGAGTCTGAAGTCCGGAATCGTAATGCCACCAGCTTTGGTTTTCTTTTTGAGGGTTGCTTTGGCTATTCGGGGTCTTTTGTGGTTTCGTACAAATTTTAGGATTATTTGTTTTAGCTCCATGAAAAATGCTGGTATTATTTTGATAGGGATTACATTAACTGCGTAGGTAGCTTTGGGTAGTATAGCCATTTTAACGATGTTTGTTCTTCCGATCCATGAGCATGGAACGCTTTTCCATTTCTTTATGTCGTATTCGATTTCTTTTATGAGTAAACTACAGACCTTTTTCCTCTTTAGTTAGGTTTAGTTATCTTATTGTTTTTGGTGCAGTTACAAATGGGATCAATTCCTTGCTTTCTTTTTCTGCTGCTTCATAATTGGTGTATAGAAATGCAACAGATTTCTGCACATTGATTTTATATCCTGCAGCTTTGCTGAATTCATGTATTAGTTCTAGCAGTTTTTTGGTGGAGTCTTTCGGGTTTACAGTATCATGTCATTTGCAAATAGTGAAAGTTTAACTTCTTCCTTCCTGATTTGAATAACTTATATTTCTTTTTGTTGTCTGATTGCTGAGGCTAAGACTTCCAGTACTATGTTAAATAGTAATGGTGAGAGTGGACGTTCCCGTCTCATTCCTGACTGTAGGGGAAAGGCTCTCAGTTTTTCCCCATTGAGGAGGATATTGGCTGTGGGTCTTTCGTATATGGCCTTATGATGTTGAGGTATGTTCCCTCTATCCCCACTTTGTTGAGGGTTTTTATCAAGAAAGGATGCCATATTTTGTCAAATGTTTTTTCTGCATCTATTGTGGATCACATGGTTCTTATCCTTTCTTTTATTAATGTGATGTATCACATTGATTGATTTGTGAATAATGAACCACTGCTGTAGCCCAGGAAGAAATCCCACTTGATCGTGGTGAATATTTCTTTTAACGTACTATTGAATTCTCGATTATTGAGAATTTTTGCATCCATGTTCATCACGGATATTGGCCTGTCATTCTCTTTTTTAGTGTGAGATCCCCCACTCTTAAGGCAGGTTTCTCTCTGCCCAGGCTCTAACCTGGATGGAAGTCACTCACAGATCTGGACAGGTCTCTGAAACTCCTCTGAGCCACCATCACCTTCCTGCCGCTGGGTCAGGTTTTCTGGAGGAGATCAGCGCAAGAGCAGAAAAATTCCTCCCAGCTTTCAACATCATTGTGAAATGCAAGAGGACACTTAACTAAGGCTGGTGGTAAAAATCGTGGTAAAAATCGTCAGATTCCTCTCCAAGCCTGGCAGGGGAGGGAGCGTGTGGTGCAAAACTGGGACTTGTTCTCAGCACCACGCTTCTGCCCCCAGATTGGGCATTTTAGAAGTGCTGGTTCTCATGGTTCAGAACTGCTCACGGTTATAATTTTGCACAGCTGTGATTTCTTGCCCATCTCTTTCTTTGTGCGTCCCCCAAGGCCCAGGATGTCCTCCTGCCTCCTGGCCCTCCCCCCGTCCCCACACCAGAGTGGGGTCAGCAGATCATAGGTGCATAGTCAGTAGATGATGGATGCAGAAGTTACGTTCGTACTTGCTGAGACACGTGCTGTCGGATTGGGAAGGTTTCCTGAATGAATTTCCACATCTCCTGGATGAAGAGGGCGCCTCTTTTTCCAGGAATTGGAACATTCAAGAGCTATATTGCCAGAATCCACTTTTTCTTTAGTGCCTAAAATTTAAGTTCTGGGAACTTAAAACTCCCTTGGTAGAGATGACTTCCGGTTTTCTTGTATTCCTCCTGCCTCGCTGGACCAGCGGCCCTGGCTCTGCAGTGAGAGGTGTTGGGCCTGGGGCTCAAGAGGGCCCCTGGTAGGAGAAATGAATTGAAGGCAAAATCAGGGCTCTGAACCGAGCCCCAGGCCTTTTAAACACCTTGTGTTAATGCAGCAGAAGCTCACCAAAGGCCTTTCAGTAGAAGAGATTGGACATTCAAATCTAAGTACATTCACTCTGACCTTGGGTTGCAACTTTGCAGGAAAGTCTGACTTGGCTAAAGATTGCTGACTTGTGTGCTTTATACTTTGTGGAACACAGTCAGATTTCATCCACTGACTGATTATTCACCCTTGCCTAAAGTTCTGGCCTCGCCTCTCTGAGTGGGAAGATTGTCCCCGAAATCCAGGCCTCCCCTCCCTGACTGGGAAGATTGTCCCCAAAGTCCAGACCTCCCCTGTCTGACTCTCTGACTGAGAAGATTGTTCCTTGAAGTCCAGACCTCCCCTCTCTGACTGGGAAGATTGTCCCTGAAATCCAGGGTTCCCCTCTCTGACTGGGAAGATTGTCCCCGAAGTCCAAGCCTCCCCTCTCTGACTGGGAAGATTGTCCCCGAAGTCCAGACCTCCCCTGACTCTCTGACTGAGAAGATTGTTCCTGAAGTCCAGACCCCCCCTCTCTGACTGGGAAGATTGTCCCTGAAATCCGGGCCTCCCCTCTCTGACTAGGAAGATTGTCCCCGAAGTCCAGACCTCTCCTGTCTGACTCTGACTGAGAAGATTGTCCTCTCTGTCTGAGGACCCTGGACTCAGGAGGAGGGAGAAGGACCCCCTCCTGGCTATCGTAACTGCCAGGCCAGCCCCAGTGCCCGGGGAGCAGCCTCCATAGGCAGATACCTTCACCCAGGTCACTGCCTAGATTCAGAAGATGGAGTTCTGCATGGAAATCGGGAGCAGGGCCTGCTTAGCGGTAGCAGATACATCTGGTCTTGCTTTTCTGAGCCATCCTTTCCTTTGGTTCATTTTCTGAGCCAGAGGGTAGGCTGGATCCAAGAATCAGCAGTTCCTTGTCTCCCTCCCTCTGTTAGTGCTTTTGACCTCTGCTGAGGTTCAGCACGTGCCCCATGCCTGAGAGACGTACAGCCTCCATGCTGATCGGACCTTGACAGCAGTGCTAAGTACCAGCCTGAGCCAGTGAGTGCTCGTGAGCCCATTCCCGCCTCTCGCACCCCATCCTTGGAAGGGCCAGCCCGTCCCAAATGCTCACTGTGCTCACAGACACCAAGCTTAACTGCTGTTGCTTAATTCCCGCATAGCTGTCTTCACCGTGGGGAGCCTGCTTCTGTTTTCAGTATTTGGGGGTCCTCCACCTCGTCCAGCCAGCCTGGGAGTTATTCAGGCACCTGCTTGTCCCCGTGCTTACTTGAGGACGGTCACCGCAGAAAGTGCCGTTGGCCCGATCCCAGACTCGCTGGGTCAGAAGCTCCAGTGTGGAGCCAGAAGTCCCACCTCACCAGAGCCTCCAGGTGATTCTTGGGCACGGTGCCCTAACGTGACAAACATGCTCGCTGGCACTTACCTTTGGGATAAAACTGGACCTATCAGAGGCATCTTTTCCGCACTAAAAAGCCATAATTGAAGTCTAGTCTGGTTTGCTTTTTAGGCAGGGCGTTACGGGTTCATCTGTTTTGGGGGCAGAAGACTAAGGTGAGAGCAGACTCCCACCAGCTCCCACGGGACATTTAGCGGTCAAGGACGGAGGCGCTGTATGCTCTGCGTCCTGCTGAGTGTGGGGAAGGCCAAAGAGGGGCTGTCTCCTCTAGGAGAGGAGGTGGGCAGACAGCATGCCCACCCGTGAGCTGCTTTCATCCGCAACAGCTTGCCTGGAACCCATTTCTGGGACCTCCTGTGCTGGGGTAGGGGACACAGCGACCCTCCCGGGAACACCCCTGTGTGTCCCCACCCCCATGAAGAGGTAACTGTCCATCGGTGGTCCGCATCCAAAGCAGTTAGTGACTAGATATTCTAGCAGCCACTGTGATGGGCATCTTGAGGTGTCAGCTTGGCCAGGCCACGGGATCCAGTAATTCAGCCAAATACCAAGCTAGGTGCTGTTTTTTGCGGACGTGGGTGCCATCTACAATCGGTTGACTTTAAGTAAAGATTATTCTCGGTAACGTGGGTGGGCCTCACCCAAGCAGTTGAAAGGCCTTAAGAACAAAGCTGGGGGGGCGCCTGGGTGGCTCAGTTGGTTAAGCGACTGCCTTCGGCTCAGGTCATGATCCTGGAGTCCCGGGATCGGGTCCTGCATCGGGCTCCCTGCTCAGCGGGGGGTCTGCTTCTCCCTCTGCCCTCTTCCCTCTCGTGCTCTCTGTCTCTCATTCTCTCTCTCAAATAAATAAATAAAATCTTTAAAAAAAAAAAAAAAAAAGAACAAAGCTGGGGTTTTCCTGAGGAGGAAGAGATCCCACCTGTGGACTGCAGTATCCGCTCCTGCCTGAGAGCCACCAGCCTGCCAGGCGGCCCTAGCCAGCCCCACAGTCATGTGAGCCAGTTCCTTGAAATAAACCTCTTCGTCTGTATCTCCTTCTGCTTCTGCTTCCCCGGTAGGATTCTGACTGCTGCACTCTCTCAGGGGTGCCCAGGATGGGGGAGCAAGCTGGGGTTGCTCTGTTCTCTCGCTCCCTGTTCGTATAGTCATGCGGGTTTAACTACTGTCGCTTCCTAACTTTTTCTCTTCCAGGGAAGTGCTGACTTGGTTTGTTGTATTTTTTTTTTCTCCTGGTCAGTGAGTCGCGGGCCAGCCCGGTTGGGATCTGTCGCCGGTCCCCACTGTGTCCAGCGCCCCGTCCTTCCTCCCTGCACTCCCTTCCTATCCACAGGTCCGCGGGAGCAGCAGAACCGGCCTCCCCGCTGAGTCATCAGCAGGGCCAGCTGTGAGTGTTTCTTTGGCAGTGTCTTAGCTGGTTGTTGTGAGTAATAGTGAAGGAAGCAATCAGCAAGTATACTGCCCTAGAAGTGCTGCACGTTGATGGGCCCCAGAGGGAAGAGACAGCAAGAGGCGCCCGGGGCCAGCGTGAGCGCCAGAGCCAGGATGTTGGAAGCTCTTCTCCGCCATGTTGGTTGGTAAGGGCTTCAGGGGGAGCAAGCTCTAGGGCCCCTGGCGCGGTCTGCTCACGGATGTTGAGAGGAAAAAAGCACCGGGCCTGGGGTATGGGATGTGTCTGGTTGGGAGAAGTTTGCGCATAGGAGTAATAAAAGCCAGCATTGACAGAACACTTAAGTGTGTGTGAAGCCCTGTTCTGAGCATTGGAAATGTAGTCTCTCAGGAGCCAGGGTCTGTTGTCATTTTTGTCTTACAGAGAAGAAAACAGACATACGAAGTGCCAAAGTCACAAAGGATGCGGCTGATAGAAATAGGGACAGGATCTGAACCCAAGCAGTCTGGCTTGAGAATCCTACTCTTCACCGCTGCCCGTGTCCTTGGAGATGGGCCTCGGGTGGCATCCATGCCCTGTGGACCTGCTTTGCAGAGTGGCCTGAACACAAACACACTTCACCGTTTCTCTTCCCCCACGAGGCAAACTGTGAAGGCAGTCATTAGCTCTGGCGAACGTGCCTGGGTGGGCATTAGGAAATGGGTCTGCCTTGGGGAGAATTTTCCTTTTCAGCCTAGGCCAGGCCCAGGATGTTGACAGGAGTGAGAAGTGGCTGGTGTTTCTGCCCCAGTGGCTGGTGAGGAAGGTTCCTCCATGGGAGCTCAGCAAAAGATAGTCTGATTCTCTGGGTCTGCCCAGCCCCGCCTGCAGATGCCAGCCTTGGGTCCAGTGAACTGTGTGGCCAGCTGGATTGCCATGGCAACAGGGAGTAGACCCAAGCCACCAGAGGTTGGAGAGCAAAGACACACTGGTTACTTGTGCAGGTCTTGGACCACAAGGCACATCCATTAGCAGGCCCCTCGCTTTGACAGAGCCCACTGGAACCAGCCTTTGGTCCTTGTCTGTCTCAAGGTGGTGCCTTTGTGGTCTCTGATTGAGCCGTGAGTACTCCAGTTCTTTGTCCCACTGATTTTTTCCATCCTCCAATCTAGTGCTTATGGGAATTCACGCAAGTCCGAGAGGTGAAGCGAGGTGTCAGTGGTTTACTCCTCTGACCCCATTGACTAAGACAAGCTTCGAGGGCCCGTGAGGGGATGGGGCTTCTGGTACCTTTGATGCAGGCCAAGGACAACACCTGCTGTGACCCCCCCAACTTCCCCAACTTCCCCATGCCCCCGCTGCCCCTCCTCCAGCCATTGCCTGCCCTCCCCTGCTCATGCCCACCTGCCTGGACCCCATCTTTTTTGCCTCTGTCTTGCTGACCTCGGTGCTTCCTAGCACTGAGTGGGAGATGAGCCTGTTTCCATTTGGACCACTTTATGTAAGTCAGAAGACCCTTTAGAGAGGTTTTCTGAGTCTAACCTTGGCCTTGAGACCTCTACTCTGGTCCACGCCAGCCCTCTTTCTCTTAATGCTGGAGAGCAAAGTGGGCAGCCAGGCTCTCTTCAGCAAATTGGATTCCTGTGGGAATTGTTCTGTTTCTCCCCAGCGCTCAGAGGACTTGCTTCAGAGAGGGCCCCTTTGTAACGCACATTGGACTGGCCACGCCCATGCCCACTTGGCCACACATTCCCCTCTGCTCCCCAGGCCCGTGGAGCCGGGCGTGGGCTGAAGTGGGGCCGATGGAATGCCCGGAATGCCGGCTGCAATGAGCGACCAACGCTTAGATCCCTCACGGGAGTTTTGACCAAGGCAGCATTTGGGATGGCTTCTGAGCCGAAGTCTTTACATTCTTCCCAGTTTTAGGCAGAAGTGAAGAATGCCTGCCTTCTCCCAACCACCAATCGACTCAGGATCTTGAACTTTTGAATTAAAGGGACCACACTCTCGGATTGTGGTCTAACTGGCCTATTGAGTTCAGGTGAAATTATTTGCGAGTAACCTCTTTTCGTGTCTGGCTTTGCTTTTCGTAAGGCCGACATAGAAACCAGAAAAATGGTGCTTCTCGGATGCGGTTCCCCTGCAGAAGTTCCCGGATAATAAGGACACAAACAGCAGGCTTTGCATCCTTTCCGGTCTTTGTAGGAAACCCATGTCTTTGTGGCGATTTATTTCTGCAGTCTTTAGAGCAGATAGGTAGGATAGACTCTGGCATCTTTGTATCTGACTGTAGTAGAGAAATGTACTTGGTTATGTATCTAGCTCTTTATCTTTCTAGAACTTCTGGGAGACAGGCAGAGCAGCGCTGACTCTGGGAATGAGTTTAGGGTGGATTGGGACAAAGAGGGGCTACTTCTCTCTCCCTCTCCCTCTCTCTCTCTCTCTCACACACACGCACACACGCCCACTGGCCGTGGATTTGGGGGCGCCAACATGATAAGTCGATTGTTCTGGTGACATCCCTGTGCCCTGGACACTTGGCCTTCCCCGAGCTTCCCTTTGCTGCCCCCTAACAGCCAGGTGGGCTTCATGGGTATGTCACCTGTGTGCTTAGCTGGGCCTGCCTTTGGACTGTCACCAAATGGAAATTTGTAGTAATTTTCGGACAAGGGTTCCACGTTTTCATTTTGCCCATGGATTGTGTCGCTGTTTTGACGATCAGCCTTCCCTAGGCCTTCAGGCTGCAGGTCACGAGGACTCTGTCGTCCCACATCAAACTCATAACCCAGTATGGGTTCAGGCCTTGGTGCCCACTTCCCAGGACGTCCTGGCTCAGAGCAGGTGCTCCAGCAAAAGACGGTGATTGACTCACCCAGAGGGTCAGGGTGAGTAGAGCTGAGTGGGACCAGAATCCTCCCTCCAGCTGAACCCAGGGCCCCCCGGGGGATACACACAAGTAGGGAACTCAGGTCCTATGCTTGGGGCTGCCTCTCATGGTAATCAGAAACTGAGGTTCATCAGAATTCGGGAAGGGATTTTTTCAGTTTGGTGAACTGCATCTGTTTGGGGATTACATTAATTTGCTAGGGCTGCCCTGGCAAAGAACCACAGACCAGGTAACTTGGACAACAAAAATTTGTTTTCTCTCAGTTCTGGAGGCTAGAAGTCCAAGATCAAGGTGTCAGGACGGTTGGTTCCTTAGGAGCCCTCTCTCTTGGCCTTGTAGACGTCCATCCTCCCCGTGTCTCCACATGGGCTCCCCTCTGTATCCACCTCTGTCTAAATTTCCCCTTTTTATAAGGCAATTGGATTAGGACCACCCTAATGACCTCACTGTAACTTAATCACCTCTTTAGAGACTCTGTCTCCAAATAAGGTCCCATCCTGAGGTTCCAGGGGTTAGAATTTCAACATATGAATGGGGGAGGGGAGGCAGTTCAACCTGTCTCAGGGGTTTTTCTGGGCACTTCAAAATCTCGTTTTAATCGCTCAACAATTTCTTTCCAGTCTGAAAAGGCGAGAAATGGTCGACTCCCGGGTCTGTTCTCCAACACAGGCAGAAGCCGCATAAGACTCAGTGGCCAGCAGAATGTGGCTGTGGGTGGTTGCTCAAGGGTGTGAGGCGTGGGTTACTTAATACTGCCTTCCAGATAGACACAGGAAGAGTGACGGTACAGAGGATGGGAGCCAGCTGTCCCCCGAGTCCTGTGGGGCCTCAGCGAGAGGAAATGAGTGTGAGCAGGAGAATTCTGGTCAGAGCTGGGAAAAGACCTTCAGGCGGGGGGTGGGGGTGGGGCGGATGTCGGAGGCTGAGGTCGGGAGGGCAGGAAGTGTGGTCTGGAGACCTGCACTCGGTCACCTGGGGTGTCCCGGGAGGCAGGGCCAGGCTTAACATTGTGGCTCCCAATGGTCCTCGAGCTTTGGGAGTCCTAAGACTGATACCCCCGTCTTGGGCTAGGTCTGGGAAGCTCCCCACGTGAGGTGATAATTATTGAAGCTGGTTCATGGCTTTCTGGGGGTTCATATACTTTTGTTCTTGTTTGAAATTTTCGTAATTAAAAAAAATTTTTTTTTTTTTTTAAGAGAGGGAGGAGCATCTGGCTGGCTTAGTCAGTAGAGCATGTGATTCTTGATCTCAGGGTTGTAAGTTCGAGCCCCCCGTTGGGTGTACAGATTACTTAAAATCTTAAAAAGAGAGAGGGGGTGGAGAGAGAAAAGGGGTGGGGGGAACTCCCAGGAGCTTCAGCTGCCAGCCCTGGTTAGGACAAAGACGGGAGGGAGAGAGCATTGAACCTGCCCCTGGGCTTCCCTGACCTGGGGAAGCAGCGCCTCCGCGTGGCGAGAGGTGGAACTACTCTATAGCCGGATAACGACGGGCAGTCGGGGTCCAGGACAGTGTGTGTCCCAGGAAGACAGCAGAGGGGGAAGCCAGGCAAAACCCCACAGCAGGCTCTTCACCTTTGTTATGCCACGGTCCCCTGTGCCCACCTAGTGATGGCTGTGGACCCAAAAGATAAAGGTGAAAAATAAAATACGTGTTATTACAAAGCAGAACAATTATAATGCACTGTAATTATCCAAATAGTTGATAAAGCCAAATTTGTTGTAGGGTAGATATGTGCCCCTTGTCAGCATTTTTTTTTTTTAAGATTTTATTTATTTGTCAGGGAGAGAGCGCCCAAGTGGGGAGTGCGCAACATAGACCGGGTCCCTGCCCTTATCAAGCACTCAATTCTACAGAGAGACAGGTGATCCCATGTTCCTATTGAATATATTAGGTAATGTATAACAATGTTTCCTGCATAATTGTTAAATAATTCTTCATAGTGAACGTTTTCTCTTAATCCTGTTTGCTTTAAAGCCGAGTTTTCAACCTAGTGAAGTCCAGGGTCCCTCTTTATAAAGCAAAAGAAATCTTACATCTTCTGGAAGATTCTGAAGGGCTTCTGGGAAGCAGGGGGTGCTCATGTCTTTTATCTCCTCCCCAAACTCATTAAGAGTCACTGCTTATTCACAGAAGCACTATTCACAATGGCCAAAAGGTGGAAATGACCCAGGTGTCCGTCAACAGATGAATGGAGAAACACAATATCCATACAATGGAGTATTATTTGGCCATAAAAGGAAACGCGGTGCTGTGCACAGGCTATAACGTGGGTAGACCTCAGAGACATTATGGTAAGTGAAAGAGGCCATACACAAAAACACTCGCT